ATTGAAATACTCCATAACCAAGAGAACTAGAGGCTTTTCCAAATCCACCCACATACAAATTCCATCCCAAGTCCTTACGGTGGTTTCACATTGTAAAAAAAGATATTGGACATTTTTTGGATCACCAACACATATCATAAGTAAGGAATTTGGTACATTGATACCTTTGTCAATAAGATTCACTCTTAACGGGAGACGATACAAAAGCAAAGACCACATAAAAATGTTCACCTTTTTAGGAAAAAATCGATTCCATCTCAAGACTTCATTCGTTATTGGAAATAATTGTCTAATCTTTTCCGACTATCACTCGCCATGAATGTATCAATATCATCCAACCTCCATCCCTCACGAAGCCGAATGAGTGTGCAAGGTGGTATGCAAAATCAATTGTAACAACTTAATATACTTCTTAGTTTCCATACCTCCACATACACTTCTACGTTACTACCAAGAATTACCCGTAACACTTAATATGTCATAAATCAATCAATTTTTATTTAACTCTAACAAATTCATTCGAGGAACATGATTATGTAAATCCATATACCCTACCCAAATATCATTCTAAAACGAGTAGATGATCCATCTCCCTCCAGAAAAAAACAAGCTCTCAAGGTTTCCAAATCCTTCCTAATATATAATAGAAAGATAAACATATAGTAAATGCCCACCGCCCCAAGAACCGACTTAAGCAACATCGAATGAGCTCCATTCACATCAACCAGACTTTCCAATTAGACAATTTATTCTCGAATCGTTGAATAATATTATTCCAACCCTTAGCTCTAGCCATATTATCAACAATGCGAATACCAAGGTACAAGAAATGTAATTCACCTGATTTACAACCAGCTAATTGCTCCACTTCCTCGACTCCGATTCCCAACCCAAAAAGATTAGACTTATTCAGATTAATCTAAAGGCCAAAAAACAAAGAAAAACATCGAAGTAAACAAACAACTATTACAATAATTTTTGTTGACCATTCACCCAAAAAATAACGTCACCCGTGTAAAAAAGATGTGAAATACTTAAGTCAGGATCACCAGTCTTTGCACCAACAACAAAATTATCTTGAACTGCATCTAAAATAGAAACATGTAAACCCTCCACGACTAGGATAAATAAAATTAGAGACAACATATCTCTTTGTCTCAACCCCCTTTCTAAAGCAAACTATTCAGTCGGACTGCCATCTATCATCAAACCCCCAAAAATCCAGAATTTGATTAAAATATGGCCAACATACATAGTCATAAGCATTTTAAATTCAAGTTTAAACATCATTAAAGTTTTTTTTTTATACCAATCTATCACTTCATTTAACACCAATGCCCAATATAGAATTTGTCTCACTTTAATGAAGGCAGACTGCTCAACATTAATAGTAGTACAATATCCACTCCCTTTTCTAGACGGTTAGCCAAAAGTTTAGCTATGATCTTATACGGAACTCCTATTAAGCTAATAGGACGAAATTAAGAAACAAGAGTAAGGCTAGAAACTTTTGGGATTAAGGTCACAAAACAAGAATTGGACCTCGATGGAATATTAGTCATAGGCATAAATTCCTACACCAATCCATCACATTCGATTCAAACATAAACAAATATAGCTTGATAAACTCGAAATTAAACACTTTATCACTACCATATGACCAAGTTGTTTCTTTGACCTCCTGGATCGAAACGTTTTGTACCAAAGTCGAGACTTGGTCCACCAACAAACGCTTAAAATGATTACTCCATCTGAGAATTCTAGAACCTTGGAAGTGACTAAATTTATTCTTGAAAAAATCGAAAAATACTTGTTTCGCCCTTTGAGGTTCGGTTACCTATTCACAGTCATGTTTCACTCCGGGAATGTCAAGCTTTCTCTTTCTTCTATTAATCATCAAGTGATATAATTTTGTGTTCTCATTTGCATCACTTCCCTGTCGTAATCTAGCCTTTTACATCAAATTTTGAAACCTCATTTTGAACGTAATCCTTTGATACTCTTAGCTAACAACAAACGATCATTTATCACATTAATACTGACCGTCCCTATATCAACTAATTTATCCATTTCTTTTATTTATTTATTGAGTTTTTAAAATTTTTCGAGTTTGACCCCCTTCATCGTAAGTCTCAATAACCCCATGCCAACTTTGATTAGATTTTTTTAACCTCTTACTTTATTTTCAAAACTGACATGATTAAGAAGAGTCAAATATATTTCATAGTAACATCCTTTGCCCTTTATAATATCTTCATATATGTTTTTTTTAAAACATATTGATTACATACCTACGTAATAATTAGACGTTCATTCAAAATTTAGTCATATGATAACATTCGATATGATAACATTCGAGAGTCCCTCCACAAGATATAAGAAATTCATAATAATATTACGAACTAGGTGTAAAACCCGTATATTACACGGGTTGATTAAAGAAAATAAAATATTAAAATATAAATAATAAGTATTTTTTAAAATAAAATTTTGAAATAACAAATGAAAAAACATATTAATTGCAATTTAGTATAATATTTATTACATTTGATACTTTACATATATAAGTATAAGTATTATATGACTTTTTAATTTTAAAAATTGAAAAAAAAAACCATAAACTGACATATAGATATTATTTATTTAAAAAATATCTCAAAATGACAAGTGCCAAAACTCATTAGAGATGTCATCGTTAGAGATTGACATATGTCAAAATTATCTTCATTTATTATAGTAGAAAAGATATGAGAGAAGATATGACAGGAGATATACACTTTAATAGAATATATATTTCACATTTGTTTAATAATATTAAATAATCTTTATACATATATTTTATGTTATTTTATATTTATTGTACAGCTTTTCAAAAAGGGATATTAGGAGCTGATAAATCTACTGCTTACTTTTATCCATCCACATACGTTGGTTAGTAATTGACCATTATGCCCTTATTTAATTATACAAAATGTATTTTAATTATTCCAACGCAGTTGCTTTGATTCCGTTTCCAAAGGACGATGCACAACCAAAAGACGCTTAATCTTCCTCCTTCAATTCTTCAAACTTACAATACAATCTAATAAACTCATCAGAATGGAATGCAGTGACCGGCAATTACTCGTCACATTTTCCCCTCGGACCCCATGTTGTTCCACCGATGATCAATCTGTATTCCCGACAAACACTAGTAGAACCGGCGGCAACAAATCCAGTTCGTAGATCCTTCTTTTCCTCTGGATTTCCATCCCGTTTTTGTTTTTCCAGTGGTCGTTTTCTTTCTCAATGTTCTTAGATCCATTACCATTACGCAGGTGTTGAAGTAACACGATTTTTTAGACCCGAATGTGCGTGATATTACCGGGTCGGACCAGAAGTTATTTGTGATTTGTGTAGTAATTTTACATTTGCGTGACAGTATTCCAGAGCTCCGATGACGGAGTTCTCGAGGGCAGTCTTCCTGGAAAAAAAATCCGCGTTTAGTTCAACGGGTTCTCGAGGGCAGTCTTTCCAGAAAATGTAAACCTTAATCTTGCGCGACGGGAACATGTTCTAACCAGTAGTGTTAAGACACGTGGATTCTCCGATGACTGCATTCTATTCCTTCAGACACATATAAAGGGATGAAGATTGCAAAACGTATATGCTGGCTGAAAGTCGACCGAAGATTGCAGAGCAAAAGAAAGAAGAAGCATGGTGAGGAAAAAGGGGTTTGGGTGAAGAGTTCAAAAAAAGAGCGTGTAATACTTCAAATTTAAAATTTAAAATACAATATATATTTAAGTAAAGGGTATATTCGTCCACTTACTTACAAATTATGTGGATGAATAAAATAATGCAGTGGAAGAATCAGTTTCCTTTCAAAAAAATCAATCATTTCTTTTGCACAATTCTAGCGTTTCCAATCATCAATGATCTTATTTCTTATTTTGTTGAGAAACAAACAACATATTTTCCTTTTTAAGGTTACTCCACATTAACAATTTACCGGGTTGTCAACCTAATTACCTAAAACATGGTGATTGGGCTCAATTGAAAAAAAAAAAAAATAATAAAAATCAAACCCTATTCAATCCTTTTGACCAGTTAATATATCCGCAAGGGTTTGTTTGAACTCCAAAGCATTTCGCTTTCCGCATCATTCTCCAGTCACCATCACCGGTTTCAACCCATAGTGCCATACATCCACACTTGATCACTTCTTTCAAAACCCCTCAAAATTTCAATGAAACCCCACACCCGACATCATCGGCAAACCCTAAATCAATCCCCCAAACATGTCTAGTTTCATCTTCGATTCAATCAAATAATCATGAATTTCATCGCCATTACCATCTCCATGGATTCCCACATTGCTCCTTCTGTTACTCTCTCTTCCAATCTTTTTCTTCTTCGCGTCGCACATCCTCCCTTCGCCACCGCCACCCATTTCCCTCCCCGACGAACTCGACGATCTCACCCTATTCCGTCGAGCCGCCGCCCTCGAATCCCACCCTAACCATAAACCCAAATCCCGACTCGGTTCTACCAACTCCAAACCCAAAATCGCTTTCCTCTTTCTCACCAACTCCGACATCCAGTTTGCCCCTTTATGGGAAAAGTTCTTTCATGGCAGTAAATCAAATCGGAATCTTTACACCATATATATTCATGCTGACCCGACTGTTAAAACCAAATTCAAATCCCCAGGTGGTGTTTTCTCTCAAGATCGACTCATTCCTGCTAAACAAACCCATCGTGCTACAGCAACGCTCATCTCCGCCGAGCGCCGCCTGCTCGCCAACGCACTTCTTGACGACCCTTCTAACGCATTCTTCACATTAATCTCTCAACATTGCATACCCCTTCATTCATTTCAGTTCTTTTACAACACCCTTTTCGAAGCTAGTTCACATCAAGTAGCCGAATTCAGACACCTCAAATACAAAAGCTTTATCGAAATAATTTCCAAAGATCCTAATCTTTGGGACAGGTATAATGCCAGAGGCAAAAAGGTAATGCTTCCTGAAGTACCATTTGATGAATTCCGAGTTGGTTCCCAGTTTTTCACACTTACACGGCGGCACGCTCTGATGGTGATTCAAGAACGACGTTTATGGAAGAAATTCATGCGGCCATGTTTAAGATCTGTAGCTTGTTACCCTGAAGAACATTACTTTCCCACATTTTTATCAATGGAGGATCCAGAAGGGTGTAGTGGCTATACATTGACTAATGTCAATTGGACTGATAGTGTTAATGGACACCCGTATACTTATCATCCATCTGAATTGTCGCCTGAGCTTATTTACAAACTCCGGAGGTCAAATTTTATGCAGCCTTACATGTTTGCCCGGAAGTTTACGCCAGATTGCTTGAATCCATTGATGGATATGGCTGACGATGTCATTTTCCGGGACTGAAATCTTTTGATATCTGGTAAATTCTCTCTCGCTTAGATTGCATTTCTGGTTTTGTTAAGTTAATTATGCTTTCTTAGTTGATTTGTATGTGAATTAATGTGGGTTTTGTTTGGTAAAGTAGCTTTCATTATGACCTAAATGATGGGCATCAATGGAAGTTCATCATGCTGCACATGATGTCTTTGATTACTTTTCTGTTTAGTGTCTGTACTACAATTTTGTAAATGTAGCAACTATAGGTCCTAATAGTAATAAGTATTTTAAATTATATTTCTTTTTAAGCTAATGGGCTTAATCTAGTAAGCCGTATAGTGGATTAGTGGTGCTCCTTTCCTAACAGAGAAAGACAAGAAAACATGCTTTCCCAATAAGTCCAGAGTTTTTAAAAATTTGCTCTCATTTCTTTTTCTTCATTTTTCTCCTGTGTTGTCATTTTCTTTAGTATTTTTCAAACTTCATTTATTGAAAACAAACACTTATATAGAAAAAAGAACAATCAGTTAGAGATGTTGGGATTTCTTCAATCTTTTAATGGTGCTTTGGTTTTTCTTGTTTACATGTGCAGCTGGAATTAGTTTCAACGTGAGTGTACATAACTACATACAGGTGGTAAAGAGTAATGTGAAGACAGGAATTTGACAGGGGTTAATGTGCCTAAATGCAGAAGTTATCTTAAATTAAGGAAATATGATTAGAATACACAAAAACAGAAGCCAAAATAGTCTGTTTTAGGCTATGTTAACGTCAACTTTTATTAAGATTGTTGCTCCTTTTTTTGAGATTGTAAGTTTTTTTTTTTCTTCCGGGTTCCTTCTTTGTACATAGTAATTCCCGGGGGCTAAATGCAAATACTTGTTAACTTTTTAGAGGAATAATAATCGTGTTATCATAATGATGTCCACTTTTGAATGACTGGAAATTTGTAGAGTTTAAATTAGGGGGGGGGGGGGGGGGGACCACATATTTTGAGAATAAATTGACGTGAAGTTTGTATTTTTATATGCTGATTTACAAGAAGATTTTGTAAAGTAGTTATCTTATCGAAAATGGATAAGAAGGAGAAAGTATTGATAGTACTTTGTTCTATAAGAAATATAATTCAGATCTTATCCTAATACAAATATATATAGATGCAATAATCTTTTGGATCTACCAATGGTGACTGTTCAAAATTTGGAGAAATTATGGTAGATAAGTTTCAAATGAGTATGGCTGGTATGATGAACTTCTTTCTAGGTTCACGAGTTAAACACACGTCCAAATGTATTTTCATCGATCAAAGTAAATACATAATTTCACTATTAAAAAGGTATTCTTTCATTGATTGTAAGCCTATTAATAATCTAGGGTATGCGTCCATAAAGATTCTAAACCATGTTTGTGCAGTGTGGACAGTTTTAATGCAGTTTGTGGTTTGAGAATATAACTTCCACGATAAAGAGAAAAATAGATTTTTTAATGGTTATCTGTTGCTTATGATCACAAGAAAGACATAAATAAAAAAAAACTCATTATTTGGTCCTGGTTATACTTCATCTTGGTCCTTGTTATATTTCATAGGCAAAGAGACATAAGGTATAAATTTTGTTCTCTGTTTTTTACCAATCGAGAACTGAAATTCATAGTAGACATTATTAATATTAAATATAATGTTTTTAATTCAAGAAAAAATCTAGAATGAAAAGTAATATGTGCGAACTAACGTACGCACAATTATGTCATTTTTAAGTATGAAATTTAAGATTAATCCCAAAATGTTTCGAAATTGTTTTTACTTTATCACGTATCTTGATATTTTTAATGGATTATATATATATTAAGATTATCTATATATATATATATATATATAATATATATATATCTATCTATATATATATATATATATATATATATATATATATAGGGTTGAGATCGGTTGAAAACTCAAAGTTTCCCGAGAACTAAAAGTGGAGCGTTGGATCAAAAGTAATTCGTTAACGAGATGATCGTCATCTTACCAATCTCATTTAATGTTTAATTTTTTTGTGTTATTAATATATAATAGAAATGTCTAAAATTAACAAAATAACTCTAAATTTCGGATTTATTTAAAAAAAAAATAATTTTCGATTTTTTTAAAAAATTGAAATCTTTTATTTTTTTTCAAAAAACATGAATTTTTAATAAAAAAATGAAAAAAAATATTTTTTAAAAAACTGCATCTTTTTTTCAAAAAAAAACTACATTTTTTTTCCAAAAAAACTGCATTTTTAAAACTGTATTTTTTTTTTCAAAAAAACTGCATTTTATTCAAAAAAAACTATATTTTTTTTTTCAAAAAACTGCAATTTTCTTTTAGAAAAACTGCATTTTTTTTTTCAGAAAACAACAATTTTTTTCAAAAAAAAAAAAAACTGTGATTTTTATAAAAAAAAATGCAATTTTTTTCAAAACTGCATTTTTTTATCAAAAAAATCAACGTTTTAGGTGCATATATGCATATTTTTTTTCAAATGCATATATATGCATATTTCTTATACTATAATATTCGTAAGTAAATGATAAAAAATCTCATTTTTATTAATCAATCTATAAACATAATACAAGTATTTTATTCGATACAAAATAAAATATAAAAAAATACAAAGATTCACAGTGTTATCATTTCTTCATATCAAGATTTCCATATTTTCTTCAATTTATCACTTTTCACCTCTTCAATATTTTCCAAAAATTCTTCAAAATCTACAGGAAAATAAAAAAAAATTGATTAATGCAAGAACACGCACATGTATATATCATGTAAGATTCACATGTGATTGTATGTTTTAAGATTTAAATGTGAAATTCATAAGAAAAATTTTAAAAATAATTAACGAAGAACACTTACACAAAATACATATGTGCATATAGACGTAATTCATATGTGATTCACTTGTGATTTACATGTGAATCACATGTAATTCACTTGTGATTTACATGTGAATCACATGTAATTGATATGTGATTCACTTGTGATTTACATGTGAATGACATGTGATTAATATGTGAATTACATGTGATTTACATGTGAATCACATATAATACATATGTGATTTACATGTGAATTACATGTAATTTATATGTGATTAACATGTGAATCACATGTAATTCATATGTGAATTACATGTGAATTAAATCTAATTCATATATGAATTACATGTGATTCATATGTGAATAACATATGATTTACATGTGAATAACATGTGATTTATATGTGGATAACATGTGAATCACATCTAATTCATATATGATTTACATGTGATTCATATGTGAATAACATGTGAATCACATGTAATTCATATGTGAATTACATATGTATCACATGTGATTCATATGTGATTTACATATGAATCACATGTAATTTACTTAATAAGGTTCGAAAAAAAAAATCAAGAAGAGAAGAAAAAAAGTTACACAAGGGATTTTAGATGATGGTGTCATTGTTGGTTCCAACATCAATCATGATAGGAAGAACCTATTACAAAATACAAGTCTTTGTTCCAACATCAATCATGATAAAAAAATTCAAAAATAAATTATATTGAAAAAAGTACGGATTCAAGGTAAAAACCAGACGTACCTCCACCACCATTCATGATCCTCAGCAGCAAGTTGGAAGTAAGTCAAAGCAACGGTGATGAAGGCAGTGATAATCAAGAGAATGATGAAAACAATAAATAAGATGTTGTAAATGGTGTAAATTTTGTGGCCCCACACACTGGCAAAGATGTAGTAAAGCTCAATGTAGATTGCACTGAAAGGGAGAAAGCCATCCATGACCTTTTGAGGGATGGTTTTTATGTACCATGGAAGAGGTGGAATCTCTCTGGGGTACTTTGTGGTGCGAACAGGAGCTTAGAATTCAATTTTGTTGTTTTTTCCAGCAATACCCCCGAGAACCAGTAAAGGTGATGTCACCAAACTCCATATTAAAACAATCACTACAATTGTCCCAAAAGGTAGTGCAGCTGTGGCTGTGTATGCGATTGCAACCGTGTTTAGGAAGCAGAAGGTAAGAAATAGGGGCCCACAAAAGAGGCATCCGGTTAATAGCAGGTTTCTCACCTGTTGATGAATGAGATTGAGATATGTTAAATTTGAAACTGTGTGGTGAAGAAAAGGGTATATTGGTAAATTTGTATCATACCCAGTTGCTTCCTTCTAGCTGGTGGTAGAAAGAGGATGCAGTGTAGCCTGCAATCCCAGAAGTAAGAGCATATATAACAAATTGTTCACCAAATTTGAGATTGTAATTGAAAATTGTTACAAGACAGTTTCATAAAAGTTTAACAGATTATAAAGAGATGGGTAGAGTTTGGATTATAAAATTACTCACCAGCCTTGGTCATTCCAACTCCGCTATCAATGATCGTCAATGTGTTTGAAGCTTTGTCAGGGATAATATAGATGAAAAGCTCAGGCTGGCCATCTAGCTTACTCTTATCAGTCAAGCTCTCAAAGCGAATCTTGTCCAGAGCCTATAAAGAATGTTCGATGTTAGGTTACATTTTTAAGAAATGGTCATAACAAGAATAACATCCAAATTAGAATGCAGATGACAAAATTGCAGGAGGAAAGACTAGACATACACGTATATATACACGGAGACCATACACTTCAACTACAACAAAGAACAAACTTGTTTATGGCTGGACATTACGGAGTGTTCATGGCTGGAGGTGGGATGAAGGTAGGAGAGAGGCGAGATGATGAGATAGAGAGAACGGGGGTGGGCATGAGAGAACAGAGGGGGAAGGGGGTGGGGAGGGGAAGGCTTGACATTAGGTTATCTGCCCTAAAATGCCCCCAATTCATGTGAAATAAGACGCCCCCGCCTCTTTTTTTCCCCTAGTTATTTACACAAAATTCGCATAATAAATCATCCTAACCTTCTATTATTTGATCTAACGGCCTTCGTTTGGTCTCGGGAAACTTTGAGTTCTCAAATGATCCTCTCTCTTCTCTCTCTCTCTCTCTCTCTCTCTCTCTCTCTCTCTCTCTTATATATATTATATTATATATATAATTCTATATATTATATATATATATATATATATATATCATATATATCTATATATATATAGGTGTATAGGTGAGATCGGTTGAGAACTCATAGTTTCCCGAGAACCCGAGAACTAAAAGTGAATCGTTAGATCAAAACCAATTCATTAAGGGCATGATGATCGTAATCTTATCAATCTCATTTAATGGTTAATTTTTGTGTTATTGTAAATATTATAGAAATGTCTAAAAACTACATAATAAATCAAATTTTCGGATTTTTTTAAATACAGTATTTTTCAGTTTTTTTTAAAAAAGTGCATATTTTTTAATTTTTTATAGAAAACATGAATTTTTGAAAAAAAATTTGAAATTAAAAAAAAACTGTAATTTTTATTAAAAGCATTTACAAATCAATAAAATTAAAAAAAAAAAAAAAAAAAAAAAAAAAAAAACTGGAATATTTAAAAAATACTATAAATTTTTAACCAAAAAAATCAACATTTTTGGTACATTTATGCATATTTTTACAGATATTTATATGCATATTTCATATATTATAATATTTGTAAAGGAAATCATAAGAAAACTCATTTTATTTACTGATCTATAAACACAATAAAATAAATATTTTATTCGATACAAAAAAATATTAAAAACAAAAAAATGTAAAAAATTTCAAAGCGTTTTTATGTCTTCGTGTCAATATTTCCATATTTTTCTTCAATTTATCATTTTTCACCTCTTCAATATTCACCACAATTTCTTCCAATTCTACAAGAAAATTAAAAAAAAAAATAATTGATGCAAAAACACTCACAAAAATACATATGTGATTAACATATAAATCACATGCGATTCACATATGAATTACAAGTGATGCATATGTGAATTACATGTGAATCTCATGTAATTCACATGTAAATTACATGTGATTTACATGTGATTCACATGTAATTCATATGTGAATTACATGTGAATCACATGTAATTCATATGTGATTCATATGTGAATTACATGTGAATCACATGTAATTCATATGTGAATTACATGTGAATTATATGTGAATCACATTTAATTTATATGTGATTTACATGTGAATTACATGTGATTTACATGTGAATCTCATTTAATTCATATGTGATTTACATGTGAATCACATGTAATTCATATGTGAATTACATGTTATTTATATGTGAATCACATGTAATTCATATGTGATTTACATGTAATTCATATGTGAATTACATGTGATTTACTTGTGAATCAGATGTAATTCATATGTGAATTACATGTTATTTATATGTGAATCACATGTAATTCATATGTGATTTACATGTAATTCATATGTGAATTACATGTGATTTACTTGTGAATCAGATGTAATTCATATGTGAATTACATGTGAATTACATATAATTCATATGTGATTTATATGTGAATCATATGATTGAAACTAGTTAATTTTGTGAATTTATATTGAAACTAGGGAAAAGCTTACATTACAGGCCTGATTTGGTGTATCCAGTTTTTAGGTTCATGATTTGCAATCTTCATCATCAAATTCATTACATCTTGTGGTAATACACTCATTCCAGGTGAATCTTCCGACATTGACCTTGAAAACACATCAGATAAAAAAAACTTGTTATTTTGAGTTATTCAGATTCAATCTGAAAAGAGTTAGTACTTTAAGAAATCTAAGTTCTTCACAATATCTCATAGAATTCACAAGCACATCAGTCAATCATAGAAGCTAATTGAATAGATCATACCAAATGGAATGGATAGAGTGTAACCATAGCCACTTAAAATTCACATATTACATACCACAACACAGTCAAGTCAAGCTCCTCCATCTGTCCATAAAGCCAATGAAGAAACAATAAGATGTTTTTTTTACTAATTATAAATCTCAATGGAAAACAAAAAGAGATGCATACCCTGAAGACTCATCAAATACATAATCGTTTTCTGTAGATCCAATGCCTGCAAGTGAAAACAGATTGAGGGGCAATATTGTAACAAACCATCTGAAGGAAAAATGAAAAAACTACATGTCTGCTTACCAGTCGATGGATCAACATTAGATTTATTATCATATTCAGCAAACATGTCAAAAGAATCATCGTCATTGTTTGCAGTATTATCTGCAGAAGGTATTCCATTGAGACCAGAATCACTCATTCCAGAGGAATTAGGTTGCTGAACTAGAAGAGGTGCCTTCCCCTCTAGCACGTGCTTTCGTTCATACGTAAAGTTATTTAATAACAAATGACTGCAATGAATCAATCAATCGATTTCAATACTTCTTTCAGTAAATATAATTTCAACAAAGGAAATCGTATACTGGACTAGCAATTGGACTGATAATTAATCAAATGAAAGTAAAAAAGGAAATATCACCTTGATTACTATATCCCTGCCTTGAACGACTGAGGGAGGACGAGGAGACCAGGTACGCCCATGGCTTCGGAATCATCACGGAGGAGGAACCGATTACGGTAGGTGAGATCGGCAGGTGAGGATTCGAAGGAGGCAGAACTAACGTGGATGAGGCACATATCGGCAAAGGAACTGTCAAACAGATCCACGATTACTATATCTGTGATGCCTCTTTTTCCGATTTGGAAGTAAACACCATTAATCGTCGATTCTGCTTAAGCATATCTGTTATCGCCGGCCAATCTCCGTTGATTTTAGGCATCCGACTCATCGGAAACATGTATTTGGTCAAAAATTGAAAAAATTGAAATTGTAGCTTACGTGAGCAGAATCGACGATTCAATCCACACAATTTATTATATAATCGCAATTAAAATCGACAAAATTGAAAAATTACCGACGTAAAAGTAATGTTGTTGACCGTGAGAAGAGAGATCTCATCCACTTTGGGGTGAAAGACAGCGAGTTGTGAGTTTGAAAGAGAAAGCCTCATATCGAAAGGTGACAACTGAACCGAGCTGTTGAAGAAAAACGCAGTCCTTGCCGCAAAAACGATTCCGAAAGTGAGACCGTCCGATCTCTGTATGGTGGCATCGGTGCACGGCGAGAAGACGTTGGAGATTTGAATCGGTCGTCGGAGATGAGCCGGAGATCAATCGTAGGTGATGGTAAGAGAAGAGGAGACGACGTCGATTTTTTTTGAGGCTGTGAGAACTGTGTGAGAAAAAGAGAGATACGATTAATTAAGCTAATTTGTAGAAATTTTTTTTTTATACCTAAAATACCCTTATCATTTGTTTTAAAAAACCAAATATGCCATTAAAATTCTTCACAATTACATAACTGCCACCTTTAATCTTAGCCTTCAGTTTTTTTGATCTAACGCTCCACTTTTAGTTCTCGAATTCTCGGGAAACTATGAGTTCTCAATGATCATTCCTCTATATATATAAGGGTGAGATCGGTTGAGAACTCATAGTTTCCCGAGAACTCTAGAATTAAAAGTGGAGCGTTATATAAAAACTAATTCATTAAGGACATGATCGTAATCTTATCAATCTCATTTTATGTTTAATTTTTTGTGTTAGTGTAAATATTAATAGAAATGTCTAAAAACTACATAATAAATCAAAATTTTGGATTTTTTAAATATAATGTCACACCCCCAAACCAGACGGCGGAAACATCCGGGGGTGGAGGACTTCATTTGTAGTATCACAACATATGCATCATAGTAATCAAAGTACAAAAAACCATTGTATTTAAAAAGTATAAATATTTACATATATTCAATCTCTGTATATTGACACCAAAATAGTTACAACAAAATACAAAAGTTATGACTCAAAGGGGCTCCATCTCAAAAGCTCGGGGAGTACCTGTTTATTGTGTAACATCCTAAAAATACAGTCTAAAAATTTCGTTTTAATTTAATAATAAAACCATAGTCATCGAACATCATATAAAAATCATAAAAAGTGTATCTCAAAATATCATAACAATTGTCAAAATATCAGAGTATAAACATCCCAGGCTGAACAGATGGTGTGTGCACTGCAATCTTCCCGAGCTCCTCTTTTGGAAACTGAGTACCTGAAACCAAAACTGAAACTGTAAGCACGAAGCTTAGTGAGCTCCCACAAACTACCACATACCATACAATAACATATAAAGCACATACTGGGCCTTGCCCACTGCATCGGACCAAAGTCCGGAACTGACTTGGGCCTTGCCCACTGCATCGGACCGAAGTCCGGAACTGACTAGGGCCTTGCCCACTACATCGGACCGAAGTCTGGAACTAACTAGGGCCTTGCCCACTGCATCAGACCGGAGTCCGGAACTAACTAGGGCCCCGCCCGCTGCATCGGGTCCCGCTCGGCATCAGACCGAAGTCCGTAATAAATTGAACATAACATAACAATGTAACGCCCGTAGATCCGGGCTAGTCAATTTAGAGACGATAAACATCAAAAACGACTTTTTGATGGAAGATTATTTATAAGGATTAATCTTATCCAAGTTGTAGTATATGTCTCAAGGTTTCCGGATATATAAAGAATGCCGAAATCCGAGTTATAACGAAGAAGTTATGACCTGTCGAAGTTTCGCGACAAACCGGCACGGTGCCGAATGTCGTAAAAAGTGAGTTTTTGATAAACTACTTTTTAGCCTTAGTAATCTAAACGAAACTCGTAGTATTCGTTAAAC